GGGTTTCACCTGTTAAGCCCAGGATGGTCTCGATCTCCCTGAACCTCGTGATCCGCTCCCTCGGCCCAAAGTGGCTGGGATTACAGGCTTTGGAGGCCACCCGCGCCCGGCCCGAAAGGGTTGTTTTTTTAAGAAAAGGAAGGAGGAAGGTGTGATGGCGTGCACCTGTAGTCCCAGCTGCTTGGGAGGCTGAAGTGGGAGGATCACTTGAGCCCAGAGGTGGACGATGTAATGAGCTGAGATTGAGCCACTGGACTCTAGCCTGGGAGACAGAGTGAGACTCCATCTCAAACCAAAAACCAAAAAACAACCCAAAAAACACCCCAAAACTGATCCTCTTCAGTTAATGCTTATCCATTCATTCAGTCTTGTGCTTTTAACAAATGACACAATGTTTGACTCCAACCTCATGTGGTCATTGAAGCCTAATCTTTTATTGAATGGAGGCTCAGCCTTCTTGACATTTTTACCTGTTTTTTTTTTTTTTTTTTTTTTTTTTTTTTTTTTTTTAGAGATGGGGTCTTGCTACATGGCCCAGGCTGATGTCAAACTCCTGGCCTCGAGTGGGCATGAGCCACTGCACCCGGCCTATTTTTAAAATATAGGAATAGTAATTATTATTTGACAATTACTACTATAGGGGCTGCTGGGTGAAGGATATGGCTGATCTCTCCGTTTTTCCTTATACCTCCATGTGAGTTCACAATTATCTTAAAATTAAAGTTAAAAAAATGTGTACTCATTGTAAAGACAGTCATTATGGGCTGGGCGCGGTGGCTCACGCCTGTAATCCCAGCACTTTGGGAGGCCAAGGCGGGTGGATCACCTGAGCTCAAAAGTTCGAGACCAGCCTGACCAACATGGTGAAACCCCGGCTCTACTAAAAATACAAAAATTAGCTGGGCTTGGTGGTGGGCACCTGTAATCCTAGCTACTCAGGAGGCTGAGGTTGAATTGTTGGAACCCAGGAGGTGGAGGTTGCAGTGAACTGAGATTGCACCACTGCGCTCCAGCCCAGGCGACAGAGCAAAACTCTGTCTCAAAAATTAAAAAAAAAAAAATCATTCATTATGTAAAGAAAAAAGGAAAAGGCTGCTGTGTCTGTCCTGTCTCCTCCCCAGAGGCACCTGTTATGAAACATACATTGCTGGGTGGCCTTCCTGAACCCTGTGTGTGTACCTGTGTGTACACATTTGCACACACAACACTGCTTCTCGTATGTGCTTTGTGTTTCTTTTTAACGACGTGGCACTATGCCATGTACACTGCCCCACAGCCTCCCTAGTAGCCTCTAATAGCCCACCTGACACTATGCCCCCACCACGCTTCAGACTCCAGCTTTGCCCCACACTGCTCCGTGATCCAGCCCAGGCCTTTGCAAGCACCGTTCCTTCTTTCTAGAGTGCTTTCCCATTTCTGCTTCCCTCGCCGCCTTTTCGGGCCCTTCCTGGACCCCTCAGGGTGGTCAGGCTTCTACTGTCTGGGCCTTGGTGGCCCGTGCACTCATCTCATGACCCGTGGCATGTGGCAGGTGTTTGCCTGCTCCGGGGTGTCCCCTCCATCACACTGGGAGCTCTGCAGGGGCAGGGAACGGGCCACGTGTGCTCCCGGTTCAAAGCCTGGGACATAGTAGTCACTCAGGAATGTTTGTGCAGGTGTGTAGCTCCTGATGAAAACTGGAATTGTGTTTTGTCATCTTGTCACTGGCTGGGGAAGTCGTGGGAGTCGTCCAGCCCAGCATGCGGAAGGCGTGATCTCGAGTCCCTTTCTTCTCTGTTCTGCAGATCATCACACAAGGACCATCACGTCATGCTGCTTTGACCCCGACAGCCAGAGGGTGGCTTCTGTCTCATTGGACAGGTGCATCAAGATCTGGGACGTTACATCCCAGGCCACGCTGCTCACCATCACCAAGTGAGTTGGACCCCAGGAGGTCAGAAGGGAGTTTGGGCGGGGTGTCCCCATTCATGCCCTCTTGGATTCCACACAAGCCAGCATCCATGTGGACACGTCTGTAGCTTGGTCATGGGTGCTCCGAGGAGGCTGGGGACAGGCAGGTGGGAGGGAGCCATCAGCTGCAGCCTGTGGGCTTGGCTGGGCCTCAGATGCATTTGTTTCAATGTGAGCCACTAGTGGAAACCATTGTGCAGAGAAGCCCACAAAATGTGAAGTTCCAGCATCTCCTGTAAAATGGGAAGGTCGGGCTGGGCGTGTGGCTCATGGCTGTAATCCCAGAGCTTTGGGAGGCCAAAGTGGGAGGATCACTTCAGGCCAGGAGTTCAACACCAGCCTGGGCAATGTCATGAGACCTCATCTCTACAAAAAATTTAAAAATTAGCTGGGTGTGGTGTCACACACCTGTAGTCCCAACTACTCATGAGGCTGAGGCTGGAGGATTGCTTGAGCCCAGGAGTTTGAGGCTGCTGTGAGCTATGATTGCACCACTTCACCCCAGCCTGGACAATGAAGTAAGACCCTGTCTAAAAAAATAAATAGGCCGGGCGTGGTGGCTCACGCCTGTAATCCCAGCACTTTGGGAGGCCTAGGTGGGAGGATCACGAGGTCAGGAGATCGAGACCCTCCTGACTAACACGGTGAAACCCCATCTCTACTAAAAATATAAAAAATTAGCCGGGTGAGGTGGCAGGCGCCTGTAGTCCCAGCTACTCGGGAGGCTCAGGCAGGAGAATGGCGTGAACCCGGAAATCAGAGGTTGCAGTGAGCTGAGATAGCACCACTGCACTCTAGCCTGGGTAACAGAGCAAGACTCCTTCTCAAAAAATAAAATAAATAAATAAATAAATAAAATGAATTAAGTCATTTTGGAGATACTACATTATCATTTAAAAAAATTTTGGGCCGGGTGCGGTGGCTGAGGCAGGAGAATCGCGTGAACCTAGGAGGAGGAGGTTGCAGTGAGCCGAGATTGTGCCACTGCACTCCAGCCTAGGTGACAGAGTGAGACTCTTGTCTCAAAAAAAAAAAAAAAAAAAATATATATATATATATACACACACACAACATAAAACATGACATTTTAACCATTTGTAAGTGTGCAATTCTCTGGCATTCATTACATTCACAGTGTTGTGCAACCATCACCACTATTTATTTCCAAAATGATTTCATCATCTCAGACAGAAGCTCTTACCGGTTAAGCAATAACTCCCCATTGCCCGTGCCCCCAGCCCTGGGTAATGTTTATTCTACTTTCTGTCTCTATGAATTTGCCTATTCTGGATATTTCATATAAGTAGAATCATACATTATTTGTCCTCTTGCAATGGGGTTATTTCACTTAAACTAATGTCCTCAAGGTTCATCCGTGTTGTAGCCTGCATCGGAACATCAGAACTTCATTCCTGTTTTTTTTTTTGTTCCTTTGAGACTTAGTCTCTCTCTGTGTCGCCCAGGCTGGAGTGCAGTGTGCCATCTCGGCTCACTGCAACCTCCGCCTCCCGGGTTCAAGTGATTTTCCTGCTTCAGCCTCCTGAGTAGCTGGGATTACAGGCGCCCACCACCACGCTTGGCTAATTTCTGTTTTAGTAAAGACGGGGTTTCACCGTGTTGACCAGGCTGGTCTCAAACTCCTGGCCTCGGCCTCCCACCAGTGCTGGGATTAGAACTTCATTCCTTTTGATGACTGAATAGTATTCATTATAGGTGTACACACCATATTTTTCTGTTCATCTGTTGATGAACTCTTGGGCTGTTTCTACCTTTTAGTTATTGGGGAATAATGCTGCTGTGAACACATGTACATGTAACTTTGAGTTCCTGCTTTCAATTCTTTTCATTTTATTTCATTTCTTTTGAGACAGGGTCTTGCTCTGTTGCCAGGCTGGAGTGCAGTGGTGTGATCATAGCTTACTGGAGCCTCGGATTCACGGCTCAAGTGATCCTCTTGCCTCAACTTCCTGAGTAGCTGAGACTACGGGTGCACACCACCATGCCTGGCTATTTTTAAGTTTTTTTTTTTTTTTTTTTTTTTTTTTTTTTTGTAGAGACAGGGTCTCATGATGTCTCCCAAGCTAGTCCTGAACTTTTCAACTCAAGTGATCCTCTCACTTTGGCCTTCCAAAGTTCTGGGATGACAGGTGTGAGCCACTGCACCTGGCCTGTTTTTAATTCTTTATGCTGTATACCCAGGAGTGGAATTGTTGGATCATATGGTAATACTGTGCTTAGCTTTTTCAGGAATGGGGACCTTGCTTATTAATTTTGCACTGAGAACTGAAAATGATATAGCCTGACTGAGATTATGAATTTTGTAAATCCTCTAGCAAGACCAGCTATAACATTTGCAGTGGTGCAATCTCAGCTCACTGCAACCTCTGCCTCCCGGGTTCAAGCAGTTCTCCTGCCTCAGCCTCCTGAGTAGCTGAGACTATAGGCGCCCGCCCCCATGCCCAGCTAATTTTTGTATTTTTAGTAGAGACAGGGTTTCACCGTATTGGCCAGGCTGGTCTTAAACTCCTGACCTTGTGATCCGCCCGCCTCGGCCTCCCAAAGTGCTGGGATGACAGGTGTGAGCCCCTGTGCCTGGCCACACTGTGGTTTTCATTTACACTCTCATTCATATTGTTTTTCTCCTATAGGTAAAAAGTCATTTCTCTCTTGCTGCTCTCAAGATATTTTTGTTGTCGTTAGTTTTCAGAAGTGTAATTATGTGTCTGGGTGTAGATTTCTTTGGATTTGTCCTATTGGGTTTTACTCAGATTCTTGAATCTGTGGGTTTATATATTTTGCCAAATTTGATAAAATTTCAGCCATTTAAAAAAAAAATCACTTAGAAAGTTGACTCCGTCTTGTCCAGAACTGTACGTGCAGCATAGCCATTTTCACCAAACTTCCGTACAGGTGAAATGGCCTGTGAGAAGTGGGATTTATGTGAAATGAGAGTCCACAGAGATACCTCTGGTTTATTTATTTATTTATTTTATTTTATTATTTTTTTTTGAGATGGAATATCACTCTTGTCTCCCAGACTGGACTGCAATGGCACGATCTCGGCTCACTGCAGCCTCCATCTCTTGACAGACCACGGGTTCAAGCGATTCTCTTGCCTCAGCCACCCGAGTAGCTGAGATTACAGGCGCCCACCCACAGGGCCGGCTAATTTTTGTATTTTTAGTAGAGACGGGTGTCCACATGTTGGCCTCGCTGGTCTCGAACTCTGACTCAGGTGATCCCGCCTGCTCGGCCTCCCAAGTGCTGGGATTACAGGTGTGAGCCACCACGCCCGGCCTATTTATTTAAAATTGCTATGTCTTTTTTTTTTTTTTTTTTACTTTAAGTTCTGATATGGCCGGGGCGGGTGGTCACGCTGGTAATCCCAGCACTTTGGGAGGCCGAGACGGGCGGATCACGAGGTCAGGAGATCGAGACCATCCTGGCTAACACGGTGAAACCCGTCTCTACTAAAAAATACAAAAAACTAGCCGGCGAGGTGGCGGCGCCTGTAGTCCCAGCTACTCGGGAGGCTGAGGCAGGAGAATGGCGTAAACCCGGGAAGCGGAGCTTGCAGTGAGCTGAGATCCGGCCACTGCCACTCTAACCTGGGTGACAGGGCGAGACTCCGTCTCAAAAAAAAAAAAAAGTTCTGGGATACATGTGCAGAATGTGCAGGTTTGTGCCATGGTGGTTTGCTGCACCTGTCAACCCGTCATCTACGTTTTAAGCCCCACAAGTGTTAGGTATTTGTCCTAATGCTCTCCCTTCCCTTGCCCCCAACACCCTGGCAGGCCTCTGTGTGTGATGTTCCCCTCCCTGTGTCCACGTGTTCTCACTGTTCAACTCCCACTTATGAATGAGAACATATGGTGTTTGGTCTTCTGTTCCTGTGTTAGTTTGCTGAGAATGATGTCCCTGCAAAGGACATGATTTCGTTCCTTTTCATGGCTGCAAAGTATTCCATGGTGTGTATATACCACATTTTCTTTATCCAGTCTATCACTGATGGGCATTTGGGTTGATACCAAGTCTTTGCTATTGTGAATAATGCAATAAACACACGTGTACATGTGTCTTTATAGTAGAATGATTTATAATCCTTTGGGTATACCTCTGGTTTAAACCTCAGTGACAGTGTCTGGCTTCTGGCGGAGCTTGCAGTCAACCTCCATGATACGCCAGCATGGTTCTTACCTCACCAGGTACTGGGAATTGGTGAGGTTTATCCTGGATGCCCCTGCGAAGTTGACATTTCTTCTCCTTTGGCCTTGCTCAGTTTGTGTATTTCAAAGAACCAAAATGGGTTCCAAAACTCTGACCTGAGCTGTAGAAAATCATTTCGCTCAACCTTTTCTTCCACTCAAATGATTGATTTTATGATCCAGGTTACTCAGAGAAAACTCTGCTTACAAGAGGAGGTGTGAATCACAGGAGAAAGACATTGAGGGTTACAAACAAAAAGTGGCAAAATACAGACAGGCTTTTTATTATTATTATTTTTCTGAAAAGGAAGATGCTTAAAAATGGGAATGAATAATCCCATGTTTTTTTGTTTTTGTTTTTGTTTTTTCCTGAGATAGAGTCTTGCTCTGTTGTCCAGGCTGGAGTGCAATGGCACAATATTGGCTCACTGCAACCTCCACCTCCTGGGTTCAAGTGATTCTCCTGCCTCAGCCTCCAGAGTAGCTGGGACTACCGGAATGTGCTACCATGCCCAGCTAATTTTTATATTTTTTGTAGAGATGAGGTCTTGCTATGTAGCCCAGGTTGGTGTCAAAATCCTGGGCTCAAGCAATCCTTCCACCTAGGCCTCCCAAAGCGATGGGATTACAGGCATGAGCCACCGCACCCAGCCAAATAACCCAAAATTTTATTAATTAAATATACAACATTGAAACATATTTGAATAGCACTGAAGACAAATGAGGATACGAGCAAGAAAAAGGGAGAGTGAATAGTTGGGGTGGAGAAGCAGAGGAGTAAGGAAGAGAGGGGTGGAACAGAGGGAGACCGCGCCTGACATTGTGGGGGGAAAGATGGGGAGCAGGAGAGAGCCTCTGTGTAAGCGCGATCCAGCACCAAGTTCCAAAAGCTGCCTGTCAATCAGCCGCTCCTGACACCAGCTGCTTTTCCCTCCAGCGCCAAGGGAATACTGCAGAATCTTCTCAAATGAGGGCAAGGCTGGGCGCGGTGGCTCACGGCTGTAATCCCTGCACTTTGGGAGGCCGAGGCGGGCGGATCACGAGGTCAGGAGATCGAGACCATCCTGGCTAACACGGTGAAACCCCCGTCTCTACTAAAATACAAAAGATTAGCCGGGCGTGGTGGCGGGCGCCTGTAGTCCCAGCTACTCGGGAGGCTGAGGCAGGAGAATGGCGCGAACCTGGGAGGCGGAGCTTGCAGTGAGCTGAGATCAGGCCACTGCGCTCCAGCCTGGGCGACAGAGTGAAGACTCCGCCTCAAAAAAAAGAAAAAAAAAAAAAAAAAAAAAAAGAGGGCAATTTGTGCCCCAGTGGACATTTGACAATGTCTGGACACGTCTTTTGTGGTCACAACTGGGTGTGGGGGTTCCTGGCATCTAGTGAGGACAGGGATGCTGCTCCACCTCCTACAGAACATAGGACGGCCCCCACAACTCAGTGACCCAGCACAAAATGTCCACCTTGGTGTGGTTGGCCGGGTGCCGTGGCTCACGCCTGTAATCACAGTTCAACTTTGGGAGGCCAAGGCAGGTGGATCACTGGAGCCCAGGAGTTCTGAGAGCAGCCTGGGTAACATAGCGAAACACTGTCTCTATTATTTTATTTTTCTAAAAATTGGTGCGGTTGAGAAACGCTGGAACAGTGTGACAGGCTGAGCAATTCATATCTGGAGGATGGTAGGCAGCGATCAAAGGCAAGATGAACATGAGCTCACAGGAGATGCTGACTGACCCCCGCTTAGGTATGTCTTCAGGTCCTTCAGGAGCAAAGCACTAATGTGTGCACCTCACCATCTGTGTTTCAGGGCACATTCCAATGCAATCTCAAACTGCTGTTTTACCTTCAGTGGCCATTTCCTGTGTACAAGCTCCTGGGATAAAAACTTAAAAATATGGAACGTCCACACAGGGGAGTTTCGAAACCGTGGAGCCTGTGTGACCCTGATGCAGGGCCACGAAGGTTCCGTCAGTTCCTGTCACTTTGCCAGAGATAGTGAGTAATTAACACACAGAAGGCCTCCATGCCTGTGGGAGTGCTGGGCAGAGTTCTCCATGTTCCGTTCAAATGGAGAAGCGATTTCCAATGATGCTGACGGGGAGGGCGGATTCTTCCCCACGAGAACAAAAAAGCCAAGAGGGAAGACCACAGGCACCAGTTTACAGTGGTAGAAACTCAGCTCAATGTGGCTTATGCAACCAAAGAAATTGATTAATCCTGTAATGGAAAACTCCAAGAGCAGGTCTGACTTCAGGCATCGATGGGACAAGAGAATCAATGCTGCTGGGAACCCAACTCTTCCACTCTGTCTCTCAACCTAGCTTCCCTGTGTATCAGCCTTTACCCCCAAGGAGGCAAAGATGGCCAGATGCGGTGGCTCATGCCTGTAATCCCAATGCTTTGGGAGGCCGAGGTGGGAGGATTGCTTGAAGCCAGGAGTTCAAGACCAGCCTGGGCAACATAGCAAGACCCTGTCTCTACAAAAAAACTAAAAAATTAGCTGGGTGTGGTGGTGCACACCTGTAGTCTCAGCTCTTCAAGAGGCTGAGGTGGGAGGATCACTTGAGCCCAGGAGTTTGAGACTGCAGTGAGCTGTGATTGTGCTACTGTACTCCAGCCTGGGCAACAGAGTGACGACACGCTGTGGGTCTTTAAAAAAAAAAAAAAAAGGCCAGGCACAC